AAGGGACCTTCTCGGCCTCTGGAGACGTTGGCAAGACAGAAGGGGAGGCTCCCCGGGCTCTTCAGGATCACTGGAGCGCTGTCTTCGGTGCTACTGAGGACGACGAGCCCTTCTGGCCCGAGCTGATTAACTTTGCTCCGAAGCTGCCAGATGTCTCGGGGGGGGGGGTAGATGAGAATTACACGTAGAGCACGGGTGGATGATGGATGAGGAGGAGTGGCGTCAACGGATCTAGGGGGGGAAGGGCAGCATGCCGGGGGGGGGGTGGGATTCCTTAGTCGGCCTGGAGGGCCCTTGCTGCTGGCAAGCTTCTCTAGGATTGTTTCGGGCCGTCTTTCAGAATCCGCGCGCTGGCTTTCCTGGTGACGCGAAGCGTAGCCCCATGGTTTTACTCCCCAAGAAGATTAGTGAACAGGAGGTGGGCGAAAGGGTTTACAGAGAGCCTGCCACTACCCGCCCCCTCAGCATGACGAACACAGACGCTAAATTGTTCTCGGCCTCAATGGCTATTCTCCTCGCTAAGGAAGTTGCGCGGCGCTGCCTGCCCCGGCCACCTCAGAAGTGTTTTCGCGGTCGTGATATGCCGGCGAATGCGATGGTGGCGGAGAGATTCCTCTTAGAGCCCCCCTTCGCGATCGTTGCTCTAGTGGCATTGCCCCGACGGACTTTGAATACGACCCCCCCCCCCTCCATCAAGATCTCCTGGGACCTGAGGGTGCTCAGCTCGATGGGTTCCCCGATTGTCTTTGTCAAGGTCTTCCAGGCCCTCTACCAGAATAACTCTGCTGTGATATACCTGCCTGGGAAAATGTTCGGGCCCTCTGCGATTGGTGGAGGTGCACGACAAGGTGATCCGAGCTCGATGTTCCGATTTATTCGGGTGGTCGAACCTGTTCTTTCTTTGTTGAAGTCGAGGTTTCCGTCTCAGCCCATGCTGACGCTTGCCTGCGCTGACGACTTCTGTTTTGGCTTCCGATGTTTATTTGATGTGACTTGGAGCCGCCCTTCAGGCATCTGAGAATGCACGATAGTTCGAGTGGGCTTGCACTCAACTTCCCGAAGTGTCAGGCTGTTCTTGCGCATGCTCGGCTCAAAGAACCCCTGCAGGACTTCCTGGATGACCTCGGGCCCCCGGCCCACCTCATCGACATCGCCTGTTGCCTGAAGTTCCTTGGGATCTGGATCTGCCTCGGGGCTGAAGAGGTGGCCCTTGGGGAGAGCGAGGCTAAACTCAAGAAACGTACTCGGGGGATTCGTGACCTTGGACCCGGGCTTGCGCAATCCATTGTTCTTTTCAAAGCAGTTTGTGTTCCACTGCTATACTTTGCCCTCCAGCTGCATCGACCCACTCTTGAACTCGACGAAGTATATCAGTCGTGTGTACGTTTACTGACTGCAGGACCGAACAATGATCTCTCGTATGATGTGTGCACGAACCTCTACGCGCACGGCTTCCCAGTTGAGTCCCCATCGATTGTCTCTGATTGCGGACGCGACCCGTGCCAGGTATATTGCCAGATGTGATGAACTGCCTCGCATACGTGATCTGGTCTTAAAGGTTTTTTATGATGACGACTGGTGCCCTACAAACAGAGTTGTGGCTGGTATGATGATAGCTTCCTCACCCACCTGCTTAAGTTTCATGATTTCGTCAGGCCCCGAGGTTTTGCCATCCTGTACGGACGAAAGGATGCGCAGAAGCAGTATACGCATGTGAAACGATCTCATTTGCCCGCCGCCCCCCCCCCCCCCATGAAGCAAGATGGCCCACGACGGCCCAAGAGGCCCCCATGAAGTCTCCAAGACGGCCCAAGAGGTTTCCAAGAGCGCCCCCAGGAAGGCCCGAAGACGCCAAAATCTGTGATGTGCGCCTTCGGTGTTTGAAGGATTTGGGTATTTGCTGCATTTCGGCCTTCCAACGGCCCGAGACGACCCAAGAGCCCCCCAAGATCGCCCCAAGATCGCCCACGAGGCCTCCAAGATAGCCCCAGAGCGGCCCAAAAGGCCCCCAAGAGGGCCCCAGGACGGCCCACAAGGCCTCCAAGACGCCAAGATGACCGCCAAGACGGCCCTGGAGCACCCCAAGAGGGCCCCAAGTCGGCCCAGAGAGGCCCCCAAGACGGCTTCCGACGGCGTCGGACGGACCAGGAATGCCCTAAAACAGCCACAGAGGCCCCCGAGAAACGCCCAAAGGCCCCCAATGTGCCCAAGGAGGCACCCAAAATGCATGCAAGAGGCTCCCAGGAAGCTCACAGGAGGCCCCAAGAGTGCCCCCAAAGTCTCCAAAGATCCTCCTCCTCCTCCTCCTCCTCCTCCTCCTCCTCCTCCTCCTCCTCCTCCTCCCCCTCCTCCTCCTCCTCCTCCTCCTCCTCCTCCTCCTCCTCCTGATCTTCCCCACCATCCTCCCCCAAGACTGTCCCAAAGGGGTCCCGCAACGGCTGGGGGAACGCACAGTCCGATAACTTGGCAGAACTCTTGCCACAACGCTCGGCCGCATGGGCGCTTCCCAAAAGCAGGGGGCGGCGGTGATTCGCCGTAGGCGTCTTCGATCCGCCGCCCACTGTGCTTGTCACAGGAGTGCCCGGCGTGCTAGACGCTACCAGTTCTGGTTTTGGTTCTTTGTCCAAACGAATCTCCCCTGGGGCTCCGGCCCAGCCCGCCAGCCACCCGAAAGGTTCTTTGGGAGGTGGTTCCAAAAGGTTTTTCCTGTTCCAGATGGCCCCAGATGGCTTCCAAGATAGTCTCCAAGTTCGCCCAGACGCAAGCCTGGCGTGCCAGACCCTACACGGCATGGTCTTGGTCTTTGTCCCAAAGACTTCCCCGCAGGGGGTGCGCGCCGTGCCGCCGGCCACCCGGAAACCACTTCAACGTCCACCAAGACGGCTCCAGATGGCCTCCATGAGGGCAAGATGGCCTCCAAGTTCCTTGGCATCGCTCGGACGTGTGCATTTTTCCGTCGTCGAGGACCATCGAGGAGCACCCTTGATCATTTGGCCAAAAAACCACGCACAAAACCAACAAAGCACAGGGAATGGACGTCCGAGCGACGGCGAGAGAGGGTCCAAGATGGCTTCCAAGACGGCCCAGGAGGGTCCCAAGGAGACTGCAAGACGGGCCAGGACGGCCCAAGGGGCGCCCTAGAGGCCTCCAGGACGGCCCAAGAGACGTCCAAGAGGTCGTCCAGGAAAGCCCGAAGAGGCCCAAATCATTGATTTTCCAAAGGTGTTGGACGGATGTTGGTATTTGCTTTTGTTCGGCCTTCCGACGGCCCAAGAGGCCCCAAACATCGCCCCAAGAAGGCCCAAGACGGCCCCAAGAGGGCCCCAAGACGGCCCAATGAAGCCTCCAAGACGCCCAAGATGGCCTCCAAGACGGCCCTGGAGCGCTCAGAGAGGCCCCCAAGACGGCTTCCGACGGCGCGAGGCGGGCCAGGAATGCCCTAAGACGGCCAAAGAGGCCCTCGAGAAGCCCCCGCAGGCCCCCAAGAGGCCCAAGGAGGCACCCAAGAGTGCCTCCAGAGGCTCCCAAGATGCACCCTCCTCCTCCTCTTCTTCCTCCTCCTCCTCCTTCCTGATCCCCATCCCTCTCCTGATTTCCCGCCTCATGCTCCTCCAAGTGTTCCCTAATTTTGTTTCCACAGCGGCTCGGGGAACACCTGGTCCGATAACTTATTCAAGCTCGGGGCCCAAACGTTTGGCCACAAAGACGCTTTTCAAGAAGGCAGGGGGCGGCGGTGATTCACCGTAGGCGTCTTCGATAATCAAGCTTATGGCCTTGCGGGGGAGAGAGGGCCCCCCTCGTCGCCACGGCTGGACGCGGCTCGGCAAAAATTGTCAGCTCCTACCCCGGGAGGGGTCCAGGGACCGATTCTGAGCGCACCGCGAAAGGCGGCTTCGGCGCCGTCCACAGGTCGGAGGGGGGCCTTGGTATGGACCGTGCACCAGTACACCTGTCCTGACCGTGAGATCTGGGCACTGCAATGTTCACCACCGGGCGTTTTCGCCTGGTTTCGGGCCCCGGGGCCATCACAGTCCGACCCGGCTCGAAGCATGCCGCAGAATGGTAGGGTCTGGGGCTCCCGTCGTCATTTTTCACGATGGTGCGTGTTCTCGTAACGTCGGATCTCCGGGCGTACAGCCAAGACGCTGAGATAAGAACCACGTTGCAGGAGGGGCTCCAGCTTTTGAACCACTCCTCGGGTCCAGGTCGGGGAGCCTCTTCGTGGCCAGGGCAGCCCCGTCGATCCTTCTCCAGCGCTCTTGATCCCTGAGATCCGACGTCGCGAAAAACTGCACCAGCGTACAGGATCGCGCCCTGAGTCCCAGACCCCACCTTTCCGCGTCAGTTTTCGAGCCAGATCGATCTGTCAGGGCCTTTGGGCCCGACACCGGGCGAAAACGCCCGTAGCGAAAAAATTGCAGCGCCCCGGATCTCGGGCGCGGACTTTTCGGATCGGCGCTGGCTCCCCATGGCGGCACCTCCTGCCCTGCGCGCTTCGTGCGCCCGGGGAAGGAAGCCCAGCGCCGATTCCGGGCGTCTTCGCCCACCGTGAGCCTGCTGTCGGCTGAAGCCCAACGCGCCGCCACGCCGGTCCGGGGCCAGCGCCCTCCCCACCAGGGGCTGCCTCCTGCCGCGGGGCGGCCCGGACGGAGCCGGGCAGGCTGGGAGCGAGAAGGCTCGGGGCTCCAGAGACGGGGGTCGATGCAAACGGAGGTCAGTCTTCTGCAGGATCCTGCAGGGCCAAGGGCGCACTGACCCGGGTCAGGTTGCAGGATCCTGCGGGATCTTGCAGAGCTTGGCTGGCCCAGGTCTGGATCGACCCAGGCGAGTGGATCCCCGAAAGGCGCGGCTGGTCGCCGTGAAGGAGATCGGGAGGGCACCAGCTGTGCACTGGCACCGATCCCGGCAAGGCCGATCCTGGTTCCAGCGAATCCTGGGCCGCCCAGGATGGGCCTGGCCATGATCGGTGTCGGTGTGTGTAGTTGGCGCCCTCCCAGGAGATGATGGGCGACAATCGCACCAAGCTGAACGAGCTGTTGAAAGAGGCGCACGTGATGGCCTCCCTCAGGCACCCGAACATCTGCCGCTTCATTGGGGTGTGCACCGACGGCAGGCAGCGCGGCAAGCGGTACATCATCTCGGAGTTGTTGGACTGCTCCCTCTTCGACCTGGTGCACCGGCCGGGCAAGACCGACTGGAGCGGTGTGCTGGACCCGCTCCTCGTGATGAGGGTGGCGGAGGGCATCTGCGCAGGCCTCGCGTACATCCACGAGAACAGCCTGGTGCACGCGGATCTGAAGTCCTCCAACATCCTCGTAGATCTGTCCCGAGCGCGCACGCGCGGCGGCGGGCCTGAGCCGCGCATCTGCGACTTCGGGCACGCGGCCGTGCGCACCGCGGCCTCCCCGCACGACAGGCTCTGCACCCCGCACTGGGCCGCCCCAGAGGTGCTGCGGAGAGAGGGCCTGGGCTCCGCGGCGGACATGTACTCCGTGGGCGTGCTGCTCTGGGAGATGCTCGCGAAGACGATACCGCACGCCGACCTCTATTTCGGGCAGGTGATTGCCGTCGTGGGGTGGGCCGGCGTCACGCCAGACAAGAGCCTGCTGCCGTACGTGCCCGATAGTTTGCGGGGCCTGATGGAGGATGGTCAGGCTTCGGGCTGCGCGCAGACAGGCCCCCCCCGGGGTAGTCCCAGCTGGCCTCAGCAGGTCCTCCCAGTAGCCCAGGGCGGTCTGAACACCCCAACGCCGCCAGAGGCGGCTCCAGGGTGCTGAGAGACTCGACACCCTAGGCTACCGGGGGGCTTGTTGAGGCCAGTCAGGAGGGACTGCCTTGGGGGGCTGTCTGTGCGCAACCCGGAACCTGGCCAATGGAGGATTGTCTGAGCTTCTTGCCGGACGAGCGTCCCAGCGCGTCGAAGGCGAAGGAGCGGCTGCAGAGGATCCCGCGCAGGCTGCGCCTGCAGGTGATGCAGATGCTCGCCGGCTTCCTCCCCTGCGGCCACGTCTGA